CAAATCAGCAAGACCGAGCAATTTATCCTACTTCAAAATCACTTACCACAAAAGAGTTGTCAAGTGAATCAGTGTACCAACACATCTTTGTTGAATAAAAATCTTGTTCCTTGAAGTCCGGGAGGAAAATGGATACGAACGGCTTGATAGCCTCTCTGGCTCTGTCCGGTACAACACGAGAATCAGCGGGCGACATGGGCACAGACCATTTCCCGTCCTGCGTGAAGCCAGCATCAGGGGGGGCAGGCTGGAAGTTCGTGAACTGGAGAGTTGTCAATTCCAAGACCCTTCACAAGTATTGCAAGCATTTACATACCTTAACGCCCCTGTAGCCGATCTTTATGAGGCCGTCAGATGTCCGAGGAAATACATAGATACTTCCGATGTCTTTGCCATCGACAGTCCGGGCAGCGCTCTTCCAAGTGATCACAGGAAAACGCTCAGGCGAGTACTTATCCCAGAGCCGCTCGTCATCCTTGTCGACCTTGAAGGTGACGACGCTTCCGGCTGAGGACTCCAGGTGGTACGACATCTCGGGCAATAGTTGCGTGGAGAAAGATCCGGCTGCCAGAAACATTGGTCACTGCAACTGTTGAATTGTGAAGAGCGAACTTACCAGCAATGACCACAACATCGGCCTTGTGAACAGCCCCATCCTTGGTCTTCAGGCCAATAGCCCTTTTCGTAGATGACTCCGGGACGTTCTCCTCTATGAGACTCCCAAAACCACCTTTCTGGGGCCCAAAGTGAAATACGACGCCCTGGCGTTCAGCTACCTTGTAGAAGTAAGCGCAAGCTTCACTGCACTTAGTGAAACCAGCCGTAGAGTCAAGAACTGCCTCAAAGCTCTGACTCGAAGATGAATCCGGGATAGCAAATTCAAGGAGCTTCGAGTCCCAACCGCGCTCAGTGGCACGCTGGCGGTCAATGGGATCACTTTTGACAAATTGTGTATCACGTAGCCCGTCACGTTCAAAATTACGCAGAGTCTCACGCTCCAGTGCACCAAGATCGTCGTCGGGTTGGACGCGAAGCATGCCGCAGCCGCTGAATAAGTCAGACCTATCTTCTTCATTCTTTTCTTCGCGGCGTAATTCGTTAATTTTCTCCCAGGCGCTGCGACTCTCAAGCGCTAGGCGTTGATAGTGGATGCTCTTTCCGTAAGATGCTCGAAACTGCAATTTAGATAATTGTTAATTGCTACATGTCACACATTAGAGCGAGTGCGCAGGGAACCTACGATCTTGTTATGGTCCACGGAAGCTGCCTGGGTACTGTGAGCGAAATCGGGCGAGTATCCCGACTCATCGTATTGATGTCTGTCAAAGACATGAACCCGATTTCCGGCTATCTTTCATCAGCTCTCACAAGTCATAGGTTTTTTGTTCGGGAGAAGGCGCCAAGACTCACGCTTCTTGCTGAGGGCAACCGCCAGCGATAGCCCGAATATGCCCGCTAAACAGGTCGTTAGTAAGTCTGCGGGCCTATATGGTCACTGCATTCTGCCTACCACCGACAATAGCAATTGACTTTGGTTCCGACATGATATCTCAATGCGCAAATAACTTCACAGAGATCGGGTAATCGTTGCGTATCATGTTGGTTTGGCAGGGCGCGGGGAAGAGCACCTTATCATTAGTCAGTTAACCCCGAGCTCCGAAGTCGCAGACCGACGCAGCATTTCGGGAAACTGTTTATCTCCCAAGGTGTTTGGCGATCTGCGGGGACCCAACGTGCCACTTTCGCTCAGATGATGGTTGCATTTGACCTGCCCAATGAGGTAACGCTGTTCAGAAGGATCCCAGAAGGATCTCAGGACCACTGAGATTGACAGGCGTTACGGCAACAAAAAGCGAAAGGCCAGATGTGATGAGCGTGCGGATCAATAACGGCATCGCAATCAAGACACGTTTGATGTTAAGGAACCAATTAACAAATTTTTGCCGAAGACCAGACTTTGTATTCGCATGCTTGTAATCCAGCTCACAGCTGTGACTTTCGCACAAACCCTACATCTAATCAATGAATCCACTGGCCCATCCACTCTTGGTACAATTTCTTCGCCTCATGGACCATTCCCAACTCAAGTAGCAACTGAAAAGAGCCTCTGACGGAAGAATAAAGCGAGGAACTTATCCAAGCATGAGTCAGAGCCGTATGCTCGTCGATAAAGATCGTGCTCTTCTTCTGTGAAGCTAACAAAACGATCACTCCAATCTCCGCCACGATAGTTTGTGATCCTGATTCGTTCAATCCATACACGGGATAGTACAAAGCTCCGACGGCCTAATCGAGTCACGGTGAAAGTAACAGCCATACTGGTGTAGTCGTAGTCCTTAGACTCCAACGTTCTGTTCGCCGCGCCGGGATACCATTACAGACGTGTTCAACTGTTGCCGGCTTCGTCATGAACCGGTTCCAACTTCCGGATTTTGCGGTTCAAGATCAGTCTGTCTGAGACATGGGGAATGAAAGCGCCGACATGCGGTTGAAGCCTTTGTCGACACACTTCCACTCAGTCTCACCGAGAGTCTCGTCAGACCCGCCAAGAGCTAAGTTGGAGTTGTGCACCATCTCATCCCAGATGACATCGTAGTCAGTTGAAGTCCAGATTGCATCTGTGACATTCTCATCTGCATTTAGACGGTTGCGCAGCAGCGACTGCTCGCTTCAATCATCGTAGCCTAGGTCGATCACTTGCTTGTGAGCCCCCCAAATATCAGCTTGTATCTCCTTGATGAGAGTCTCGTTGTCCAAGACTTTTTTCATTTCTTTCTCAGTGTTGTTACATTCCGCCGATGCCATGACTGGTGGAGCACCGAGGCTTGGATCTTTCGCAATCTCAGCGCGGGTAGGCACCCTGCCATCCGGATGTCTGCCCGTCCCAAAGGCGAGTAGTTCGTTAGGATGGTGCTGGATCCATGTAATAAAGTCGATTATGTACTTCTCGTCGCTTTCGTTCATTCTATCGAGGAGGTCGGCGAGTTGAAAACTCATGCGGAGATCAGAGTACGCGTGCGTGGAATTGTCGCTCTTGTATGTGACTTGGTAAGGTAATCTCATCGGGCCCATCTCGGCGAACTCTTCCGTATCATCGACGAATACTGTGCGAAAGCGTCCTCCAACACGATCGCTGGCTTCAATGATTTCCCAATTATGGACGCCGATACTGTCCAGCATCAAGGCAGTAGCGAGGCCTGAGATGCCACCTCCAACAATAACAATTGAGGCTTTGTGACTCTTGCGGGCGGTGAAGTTTTCAAGGTGGTCTGCAACTTGATGAAACCAATGGAATCGAAGTCTTACAAAAGGGGTCTTCTTTCCAAAGGGGTGTTCTGAGGTGCTACTCTTCCAAGAGCAGATGGGCAGAGTGAGACTAAGAAGAGGGCAGAGCCTAGGAAAGACGAAATCTATGTCATTTTGTCGTGCGACAAGTTCTGCCTTCGCGGCAAGGGCTATAAAGTAATGCTGGCGCTGCAGGCGTGGTTGACGTCATCAAGCAAGGCCTCGCAGACGTGGCTGCCCGTTGTCTGAATGGTCGGCAAGCAATATCTTGACACTTCCAACATCGCCTCGCCATTCTCGTCATCAACTTAGCTTCCAGCGGTCAACTCAGATGTTGATCTCTCGCATGGGCTCAGTGAGACAGATCCCTGAAGTATACGGATACATTTCGCAGGGTGAAGAATTTCAGGTTCGAATGGACGCTCATTGCAGCAGCGACTGCGGTCCATCTTAGCCTGCCGAAACTTAATTGCGCTCGAGGCGAAAAATAGTTGTATCGTTCAAGGCATCACTAACGATTGACGAAATACCTACTCTCGTAAATTTCGGGTGCTGTTGCTCAATGGCCATCCGGGTTCCATTGATGCAGTGGTGATCACAAGCCATCAAGGTTGACTTACAAGGGCGTCTGCAGATTTCAACCTCACCAGTACCACGTAGCATCTCAGGGAAGCACTCGGGTTATTCATCAAATGGGGTGTGCACTCGCGTCCGAAATCGCTCACTTAATTTCTTTCGTTCAGGGGCATTGCCAACCCTCTTGGGTCCACCCATGAAGGAAGAATGATTGTCTCCAGGCTGCCGCCTATTCTACATCTTCATCAATTAGCATACCGTTGAGTCTTCTTTTGTCCTAGTTGGAGCGTTGCCTTCGGAAACTTTGAGACAGCCTGAAGGTCTGGGGTTGCATTCGACGAATCATGGTAGTCGATGCGCACACGGGATTCTACCCAGTTTCCGAAACTGGTGATCAGAAACTTCTCGCCAAACGACGATGTCTCCGAAGACGGCCTTTTCATCAATCTCTTTTGAATTCGTTTCTAGAATGTCCAGGTTCTTGGATACTTCTATGGGTCTGTCAGTAGACGCGCACTGTCATCCCTTCTTAGTTTGGTTTGTCCAGACTCCAGCCAGCATGCGGAAGACCCAGGCCGGATCCCTCATAGCATCTCAAGCTCGAGTCGTGCTCTTATCTTCTTCGTTGAACCTCATTCAAGAAACGTCACAGCAAGTCAACGTCACGTCTGCTCCAGCTCTTCTGGTGGATCACTACACTCAGTATGCAGGTTGCAAAGCGATATCCAAGCAGCCTTCGCCGAGTCGGTTTTCCAACATGATTATGGCGCGTACTCTGTGCTACCAGCAAGTGCTGTTGTTCACTTACTCATACAGCTGCTCTCCTTAGCATGTGCCTGGCCTCACAATTTTGCGTCACTGAGTTTGGACTGTCCTTTCCATTCATGAGCTATCGAACGCCGATGCAGGTCCTGTTTTGTACGTATGGATAAGACATCCTGTCAGGTGAACGCATTGTACAGCGGTAGTATCAAGGTCTTCGTCAAACCACAGGTGAACGGCAAGTACAAGATTAATTGTGTGAGCTCCCTCTCAGCCAGAGACCATACCAATGCACTCCAACTTCGTTACTTTAAATTTAATTTCGCATTCATGCGACCTCTTTCTCCTTTATTTGTCATTAGGAATCACTACTATTTCTACTGGGGATTGAACCAGGGTGTGCCAACAGTTGTCGCCACGTCTGCTCCCAGAAGATGATGAATTTGAATTCCAGGATGGTAGTTGTTCCACCACAGGCAGCTGACGCCGTCCTCGTTTGTACAAATCGCGTCTGGCGCTCCGTATTCTTGTGGGTTCGCAATCGCAGGTTCATATGACTTCGAAGGTCTGACCAGCCAGGCTTGAGCATCCGGATGGGCTATTTTAAACTTTTGAAAGTTCTTTTCCAATATCTCATTGTAGAGCTTGACAGCAGCCGCAACCTTTGCGTTGCTTTCTGGGCCTTTTTCGATCATCAAAGGAGTGAGTTGCTGGGCTATTGCAGATAATTAGCGGGATTTCGTGATTGACAGCAATTCCATAGTCAGCGGTGGTTTTTTGTCATTGCCGTCATTAGCAACTCAATGAAATTAACTTACGAGCACATGTGAGAAACACAAAATTTCGGGCACCGGCATCGTACAGGCGCTGAGTCTGTTCGAAGTAACGGGCAGAAACCTTTGGGTACAGGAAGGATGTGTCGTTTCTGTCAAAAGACTGGCCAACGTCGTTGTTGGCGATCCAGATCCCAATCAGAACGTCATCCCAGGACCATGGGGTTTCCTGGTGGACGTATGCATCGTAAAAGGTGTCGACCTGGTCCACGTAGGTCGCAATACCTTCCGTGTATGTTGGAATAAGTGTGTTGTCTGTCGTAGCACCTCCTACAGCCAGATTATAGGCTAAGATCGTTGTGTGATTAAACTCCGCGATATCAAACCCTAGCCAGTTCAGGCCGTCAGTCGTCGTTGATCCAGGAAAAGAGGGATTTCCAATAGGATTCTTGCTCGAGGGAGCGGTGCCGTTGACAGAAAACCCGGTCTGCGTAGTAGAGCTCCCGCTAAAACTTTGTCAGCCAAATCTAGATGAAGGCGAGTCGATAAATCAAGTCTTAGAGTGTATGAGGGACAACTTTGCAAGGTTACGAAGTATTTACTACCTTCTAGATCAGAGCGCGGGACCGGAGAAGAGGCTGCTTTTGTCACAAGAAGCGACACAGCGAAACGGGAAAGATTGTGACCGAGCATAATGGCAGAACAAATTGCTTGGGCTCTCCGCTAATCGATCAAATTTATAAACTCCGAAGCATGAATTGGTGAATGCCGGAGCCTACCTGGGGAGTTAACAAGCTTATATATGCACCGTATCAGACTATTTCTTCTTGCCATGTCCACTTCCTCCCCATTCCGCACAAAAGCCGTCACTGGGCCTCAGTTCGGGTTGCCGTCGAGGAACTCCCTGGAACCTGGCCGTCTCTTGCACCTGTCAGGCGCGTTGAGATTGAACTACCCCACCACCGTCCACAAACCGAACACCAGGTGCATGCAGTGCCTAAATCCGGGGTGGTCCAATGACAACCACAGCCAAATCCCTGTTCAGAGAAGCTCTGCTCCATTGATGATCTCGCCATCTGCATTGCGACATCAGAAGACGCAGACGGTAAGTTTCCTTTCTCAATAAGGCAGAGCGCGTATTCGCTCACCTTCGGTTTCCAATTTTGAGGCCCGAGGAGGTGCAGGTGATGCGCGAAATGGGCACTGGGCTCGAGAGATTGGGGTTGTTGGAGTTGCGGGGGTCAGATCTGCCTTCCGCACAAACTATGTGCGCTGTGGATGCTTCTTTCTAGCTAATGGCTCACTCGTACTTGATGAATACAGGACTGGTGATGACCTTCCCTCCACCATACTCTCTGCCCACAAAGTACACCGCCCGGTCACCACCACTACCAGACTCTGCCTTCACTGTGAAGCTGCCTTCAACTCTTTTGGGCAATGGAACATCCAACAGACCATCGATGGACACAAAGAGGTCAGCACCGCCCACTATGTCGTCGCGCACCCCTCCTTCCTGAGTCAAGTCCTTTGCCGTTGCAACCAAGTTGAACCGAGGTTGCGGGTTGTGGGGGTTTCCTTTGAGGGCGTCACCAACTTTGACGTATCCACCTAAATGGCCCGATACGCTGATAGTAGAGGGGGTTCCCGATGTGTCATCAAGGAAAATGTCAACACCATCGAAATCTCCGCTGGTTCGGGTCTCGAAGATCACCTAGTTTTGGGAAAGTTGCTTGATCTCATCTTCGGCGTTGTGAAGCACGCCCCCGAAAGGTCGAACATGCGAGATTACCGCCCCGGGGAGAATTGATCCGTGCCAGACAGCCTCACGATATCTGTCGTAAACGCGAGCCCCTCCCCAATTCACGCGAATCTTTCTAGGAGTTGATGCCGTGGCGTGAGTTTCTGCTTCTTTCTGGAGATCCCGGTGGAGAATGCGACCACTCGCATCCCAAGCCTCGATGGAAGAGTACCCTCCCGCACCAAAGAAGCTGTACCTGAGAACGAGTTCCTCATTATCCTTCACAAACACATCATCGCCTTGAAGATGTCCCTTGTCGGTGCGTACGATCCCAACTAAGCGTTCGCCTGTTGTCGCAAACGTACGCCTTGCCCGTAAGGCCTTCGCAACCTCACCACGCTCCAGCTTGTCGGCCAAGACGCCGGTCAATCCACCCTTCGTGCCAAAGACGGCAGTTCCGGGTACCCCGCCTCCACATCGACCCCGGTGCTCATCCGAATTGGCGGAAACGCCGAGTTTCCAGCCCCGTTTCACGGCGTCGCGAAGAAGCCACTCGAATAACCCCCAAGCGCTGCCAATTTCGAGAAGACGTTCCAACTGGGAATGGTGCCAGGCTAGGTTGCATCGACGACCGCCAACGTGGGGGATCAAAAGGTGGCTTTCAGGTGAATGAGCGTAAGTCGCGTAGACTTCATCCAGTGGCCAAGCGCCGGGTATCAGCTCTGCCGGTCCGTCCTCGTTCCACTCGAAGCTACGAGCTACATTCCCTTTCTTGTCAAAAGGGAACTCGGGTTGACTCGTCTTCGGGTCATCGAGTAAGACGACATTGTGATCACCTGAATCAAATCAGTCTTCCTTCGTAAGAGCACAACAACATTCGAATCAGGTTTACTCACCCCCAGCGGCTGAGTTGCCACACCATTCTGTCCCAGGGAATACGACAAATTCGCCGGGCGAATTAACTCTCTTAATGATCTCAAGCGTGTGCTCCCACTTCTCTTTGGTAATGTTGAAATCATTAGCAGTGTATCCGACGACGTCAAGGCCGGCAATTTCTTTGGCGTAAGAGAAGTTGTATGTGGTCGGGTTGGTGCCGACAGTGTCATCGGAGTGAACGTGAAGATCAGAGTACAACGGCCGAGGGATGGGTAGAGAGGCATCGACAGATACATAGTCTGTAGCTGTGGCAATGACAGATCCCTCACCATCAATTACTGCCACGACGAGATCGTAGTCCCCATCTTTGACGAACTCGTATGTGCCATTCATCACCGTCCATCCCTGAGCTGCGAAAGGCAAGGTTTTAGTCTGGACAACCTCTGCCTTGGAGCCAACTTTGATCAATCTGACTTCAGCTTTCAGATTCCCGAGGTCTGCTGTCGCATTGCCCCAGATGTCCTCGGTATGGACGTGAAGGGGGGCGGGAACGCCGGGCCTAACAACTCGGGGAGTTATGGTCTTGACTCTAGCAACTTGTCCTGATTTGATTGGAAAACCAATGTCAGGCTTGATGGGAGCGAATCTTGAAGTTCCGACTGGATCAATATACCACCTCATCAAGAACTTGTCTTCGACGAATGTTTGAACTCGGGTACCCCGCGATCCCCATCGTCTGTCGCCAATTCGAATAGTAATCTTATCTCCGGGGTTCATGTAACCGTCGACAATGTCAACGATGATGGCCTTTTGGAATGGTCGCTCATGGCCCTTTTGGTCGAAACGAGCAGCCAGTGATTGTACTGTCGCCGCTGCTTGCCCTTCGTGGAGAGGGCCTGGCGTGTATTCTACCGATACGTAGTTGTCTTCCTTTGGGTCGGAAGTCTGAAACAGCGCCCAGTCCGAGTAGAACTTGAAGGTTCCTTTGATCCAAGCTCCATCAGCAAGGCCACTGGCACCAACCGTGTATTCCACGATGAGTTCAGTCCATTGCCCAGCAATGAGAGTCTTTGTGTTACACTCAAGACTACCCAAGAATGGCAAGCCTTTCGTGTGACGGTAAAGTCCCTTCGGAGCGAAGTAATTGCCCGCGAGATCTGTGAGCTCCTCGTCGGACAAGGTTTTCATCGTGGCGATGGGTTTTGATGGATGCAAAATGCACGAACGGAAGGCGCGACCGCACGAATGACATTTAGATCAATTTCATCTAGCTAGGCTAGTGCCCTTTGTATCACTAAGTTTATTGGGGATGCTTGCATGCCGGAGGTTCTCCGACGCAGATGTGTCCCGAGTGGAGTGTTGGGTGATCGAAACCGCCGGGAAGATGACGTGCTCGGGCGGATTTCCCACTCCAAACTGTCAACGGCAGTAATATGCCCGACGTTGGCATTGTTCCCGTACCTTTTCGTCGAGTTCTATTTGAACAATTTAATAAAGCTTGTGCCGCAGCAAAGTAAGCAAACACAATACAAGTCCAATCAGTGGCAGTTCTAGCCTAAGGTACTTCAAGTCGCTGCGTCCATTTGGGACTATCGCGTACTTCTGCGCTACTCCAACATCCATCTCGGAGATTATTGCCTTTCCACGTGGTGATTTATTCGCTATTGAAACATGACCAACGCCTAGGTGCCAAAGCCTGATGCGTAGGCACCGACGATGATACTCCACACCAAGCCCGCAATATCGCTCCTTCCCAGTTGTCTCTTGTCGAGCTTGCTGGCCTGATAAGACTTATGTTCGGACCCAGTGATTCGGATCTTCTCCGCAGATCCAGTATGGTGTGCTCGGTTTCGTCTGGGTCAAGAGAAAGCCCTGCAGAAGGATGACGCTGAATTCCGAACTGGAGTACTGGAAACAACCAGCCATTTTTGTTGCTACTTCATGTTTCTCGGTTCAAGCAAATCGAGTATCAACTTGATGAGGTCTTTCCGAACGAAAACATCAACCCCTCGTTGACATCATGGGCACCGCAGACATCGTCTCGTTAGATCGTTCCCCTTCCGCGAATCTCGTCGATGGCGACACGAAGCAGGTTTCATCGCCGGTCGATTGGACGGAGGACGAAGAGACGAAAGCGAAATGGAAGTGAGTGTTGAAGTCGCACACCTATATCTAGAATTCTTGGGTCTAACATGTGAACTAATACAGGTTAGATTTGATCATTATGCCACTCCTGACACTCGGCTTCTTCTGCTTGCGTGCGTACGAACGATAGCCCCTAAAGTCCACTGCCATCTGACGTAAAATATGACTGCAGAACTCGATCGAGGCAATATCGCGAACGCAATAACAGATACCTTCATGGAAGACGTAGGCATCACGCAATTCCAATTCAATGTTGGCCAACAACTGCTGTCCATTGGGATTGTTCTCTTCGAGATTCCGTCAAACATGATTTTGTACAAGGTTGGACCGGGAAAGTGGTTGACCCTTCAGTTATTTTTCTTCGGTTTGGTCAGTACGTTCCAAGCCTTCCAGCACAACTATGCCGGCTACCTTGCGACCCGGTTTCTCCTTGGAGTTTCTGAAAGTGGTTACATCCCTGGCGGTCTCTGGACCTTGTCAACATGGTACACACGCAAAGAGACTGCCAAACGGGTTATGATATTTTTCTTTGGCAACCAACTGGGCCAGGCCTGTGCAAAGCTAATTGCATATGGAATCCTACATATGAAGGGAGTAGCCGGGTATCCTGGCTGGTCCTGGCTTTTCATCGTGATGGGAGCCTTCACTATTGCCAGCGGCATAGTACTAGGATTTTGTCTCCCAGACGCATTCCATAACCCGCATAGCTGGTTTTTGCCACAAGTCAACATCTTTACGGAACGAGAGCTTCACATCTTGCAGACGCGCTTGCGCATCGATGATCCCAAGAAAAAGAACAAGAAGCAACATATTGGGATGGCTGCTTTTAAAAAGGCTGTGAGTCTTCCTGCATCGCCCACTGTAATTCTATGATAGCATTACTAACTGTTGCAGTTCTCCAACTGGCGCATATGGATGCATGTTTTCATCACTCTCGGCAACAACGGACCTTTTAGAGGTTTCGACACCTATGGTCCAACCATCATCAGAAGCTTCGGCTTTCCCTCACTTACGAGTAATGCTTTGGCTGCTGTGGGATTGTTCCTTCAAGTACCAGTCTCTTTTGGCTTCAGCTACGTTTCCGACCGGTTGTAAGTAATGTCTTGTCACGTTATACCTAGTTGGAGGGCGCGGGTGCTAATTCCTGGTTTCAGTAACAAGCGAGGCGAGACTACAATACTGGCAGTCGCAATGCACATGTTCGGCTACATTCTAAACCGCATTTTCACGGAGATCAACAAGCGAGGTGTGCGGTATTTTGGAGTCGTCTGGACGCAGACGTTTGCCTCATTCCCGCACCCCCTCAATATCACGTGGATGTCGCTGACTTGCACTGACCCGGAAGAGAGATCATTGGCTATGGCGATGTGAGTTGTCCAGCTTCGTCACTGAAGATAATTCGGGGTGCTGATTTTTACTTTCAAGGATTATCATGAGCGCGAACATTGCAGCAATTTATGGAGCGCAACTTTTCCAGGCTGATGACAAGCCTCTTTACCGCAGAGCTTTCGACTCCAACATAGGGATTCTCGCTTTTGCATTTGTTTTGGCGTGTGTCAGATATGGTCATGAGGTTTACCAAGAGCGAAGGGTTCAATGAGAGTTATGAGCGTACAAGGACACCAGAATAGCCGGCTTACAAGGGTTTTGGACAGCTCTACGCGAAATCTACAGTACATGATGCATATTCCTTCAGTACCTTATCCGATGCTCAATACATACGTTTCCTGCATTCAGTTTCGACTCAGAATGCCGCTGGACCTTCTCCATCGAAGAAGACCTCATCAAGGACACTCAACATGACTTTCATGCCCTCCCACTGCTCCGTCACACTACCACGAATCTGCTCTGGTGGCAATACGAACCCGAAATCACCAGTGTCCCGCAACTCGATCAAGTATGACCATTGAGCTTTGCCAACGGCGTAAGCATAGTCGAAGCTTGCTCCAGTCGTAGGATACAGAGTCGCGCAACTTGGGCCATACGTGAAGGTGACACCCTCAACCTCCCGAATGGCATCCGAGGCTAGCTGAGCAAGCTTGATGTGCTGGCCAAGAGTATCAATGTAGTAGGTGCAGTTGTAGCCGACGGGGGTCAGAAAGTACTGGCTGTAGCTGTGCCAGTCGATGTAGAGTTTCAGCCCACTTGTGTCTCGCAAAGTGTCCACAAGCTTGTGCAATCCTTCCATCTCCGGGGTGTCGCCTGCCTCGATGCCTTTGTATGTTTGAGAACAAGGGTCCGTAGAAGCCCCAAGAGGATTAGCATCCCATTTGTACGGCCAATTGCGGTTGATGTCGCGACCATAACACGTCGAGTTGGTTGAGGTTGGGGCTGGTTGGCGATTCTTCCGCCACAATCGTTCCGTTGTCTGAGTGTACACAAATCCATCCTGTCGAGGTGTCAGATCACAGACTGCTTCATTTGAGCTTGAGATTTCCTACCGGGTTGACAAACGGGAACACCCAAAAGTCATAATTATCCACGAAAGCAGTCGTGGTGTTGTCAACGCCATATCCCTGGATTAATTGCAACGTGAGATACTCCACAACCTGTCGTCCATGACCTTAGCATTTCCACGGTGGCTTTTTGGCGCGTTAGCTTACCGGCGCTACTATCCATTCTCTGGCATGGACAGTACCGTGCCAAAGCACGGCCGGTTTTCCCGGTCCGTCCGAACCCCAGAAGTGAATGCCAAAGATGTCTCTGCCTTCGAAAGAAGTCCCCGACGAGACTATCTCCGAGTTATTAGGAAAGGCATCGTGGAGTGCCTCGAAGTATGCCTTATGGTCGTCATAAGGGTGGTAGCTGTCGTACCACTCGAGATCGTCGATTTGTCTCTTCCAGGTGGTCCCTGTAGCTGACTCGGAGGCAATTGATACTGCCAAGTTCTCGTGCATCACATGGTATTCAAGACCCAAAGTTTGAAGCCTTTCGATCTGGTTTGGCGCAATAGCGATGTCGATGTGCTTGTTCACTACCGTGTTCCACTCATCATACTTGATGGATGACAACTTGTCCAGAACGGCAGCTGAAATAGCGCCTGTCATGACGCGAAGTACTTGGTAGCCATCGTAGGAGACTGGACTGCTCGCCGACACCAAACCACCAATTAAGGCGAACAAGGCGAGAGGATGCATAATCATTGAGCTGTAACAAGAAGACTGCAGAGATGGAGAAACCAAGACCTCTGTGCTTCGGACGTATGGTCTGGGTTTATCTATGTCCATTCATGCGAGCGACATTCTCTGCATTTCGGCGTCATCGCAACCCAAGAAAGCTTCACAAATGCGTGCTCCGATGTGTCCCCTCAATATTTGGAGAACGTTGCACTCAACTCTCTTGGATTACGTTTGCGCCTTCCGAATCAATTTTAGATAGCACTTGGCAGGCTTGGCATGCCTTATCATTGAGTTCGTGCCAGTAATATTTTCCTCCGTTTCTAAATGCCGATATTGCGATTAGGCAGTGCAACTGACATTATATGTTCCGCCTACGATCCTGACATGCCTTGAAATCTGGGCGTAAGCGTCGTTACATCTAAGATCGTTCATTGAGTAGACGACGTCATTTAACAAAAACAAAGGTCACCTCATGGATTGCTCTTCCATTGTACTTGGTGGATTCTAGGCAGAGGTCAAGCATGTCATAGAAGATAACAAGTCACTTCGGGATATCTTGAGCGAATAATTGACACACTGCAACACGAAGCATCAAAGCGATGGCTTCTTCATCTTTCGATGCATCCCTCTAAGATCCAGTCATGATAGGCTATGGTGTTTGGGCACCCTTTGGTTCCTAAGAGGTGAGGTTTTGTTGTCACATCTTCTGAAATAGTTCTTTGACGGTGATGACCAGATCAAAGAAGCCATGCATCATGTTTTGACTACCGACGCATCGAAAGTCGCATTCGCAAAGGGCTTGCCTGTTCCCCGACCTTTGTCCCCAAAATCTGCGGGAATCTTCAAGAGCTTTCAAAGCCAATGGCTTCCATCGTCCTTCGTATCAAGGGTTTATTGACTCAAGACTAGTGACCAGCGGGCTGC